TTATGTATTTTTTTTTATATATAAATGAGAGAGAATAATATATATATATATATATATATATATATATATATATATATTCTACATTATCCTACATAAAAAAAAAATAAGTAAAGATATTATTAGCATGTGATAGATGCACTCTATTATTAATTCAGATATACATAATCTATTTATATTGATAAATATCCAATTATTATTAATTGATTTACCATAATATTTTAAGATACATTTAAAAATATCATATATAACTAATTGTATCAATATCTTTAATTAATGTATTATTCACTTGTATATATTCAATAGTTTTATATACATTGAAATTTAAAAATTTAATTCTCCAAAACCTTATAGATATAGTCTAAAATAAAATAAAAAAATAAAAAAAGAGACAAATAAAAATAAATATTCTAACTTCAAAGGCCTACGACCTTGGTGAAGCAAAGACAAAACAAGTATCAGAAGAAACTTTTTTTCAACGAATAATACAGATATAGTTATGTTCAAGACTCCATTTCAAATGTATGCCTATACATCCCGAAGTACACAACAGCCATATTAGAAAATATAAAACTTTGAACAAATTAATATACAAGTCAGATTGATTGTACGCCTCATGAAACACATACACACTCCGAAACGAAGGCGTAATCAAGCTAAGATTTCCACAATTTGGGATCTCACTTCCCATGCCAATGCCTATGAAACAATAAAAAGAAGCAATAACTCCCTTGCATTGATTTTTTCTTTTCACATGTGTTGTTATCAGGAATCTAAAGCCTTGGTTGCCTCTGGCTCACTTCTGCACTAGAGCCACTACTGGTGCCAAATTCATCGCTATTAGAAAACACTGCTTTTCTAAACTTCTGTAAATCAGCATTGTATTGCATTGTATCATACTGATCTGAGCTCCCAGAAGAGTTGTATATAGCATTTTGCCCTGGCCTAATCCCATCTTTCAAGTCATCCAATGAGACATCTCCTTCCAATATTCTCACAATCTGCACATAAGTCATAAATCAAGTGTATTTTTAATAATTCATCACTATTTTTAAAAGAGTTTAATTACTAGGGTCTTGCTAACCAGGATTAAGAGATCGGCATGAACAAGTTTTCATTAAAAGTTACATAGAATAATGTGCATATATCCTTTTCAATAAAAACTTTCTACTTTTGATTTTTTAACCAATACTTTTATGACACTGGGTAGCATTTTCTTAAGTACTATGCATTGATAATGTAAAACTGTTTTATATTATCATCTAATTACAAATCATGATATGTAGGCTTTTAAGTATTTTTTATAGAAGTTAATAAATTTAATTATGGCTATTTTTGATCGAATAACTGTGTAAAAATCTTTACGAGGAAAGTGCATAGACTAATTAAAGAGAAAGGAAGAAAATAGAATGTTTAGTGAGTGGTGACTATTATACATACCTGGCTCATTTTTGGACGTTTCTTGGAAGAATGACGAATGCTAGCAGCAGCACAAGCTGCCATCCTTGACAGCTCTTGAGGATTGTAGTTTCCCTCTAAAAATGGATCAACTAACTCTCCAAAGTTGCCATCTTCCTCCAATCCACGAGTTAGTAGTGGTCGAGCCTACTCAGTTCGTATGTTTCCAAAAGTTTTAGTTAAATGAGAAAAAAGAATGTTATAGGATACATATGATGATGGAATTTGAAATGAACATAATACCAACCCAATCTACTAAGCTGTCGTCCATGACATTTGTGTGATCCACAGGTCGCTTCCCAGTTACAAGTTCCAGCAGCATGACCCCAAATGAGAAAACATCAGACTTCTCTGTCAGTTTTCCACTTGACGCATATTCAGGGGCTAGGTACCTGTGTAAGCATGCAATGGTGATGAATTATTTTGTTTGGAAATAAATAATGCCTCTGAAATTGTTTTTGTGGTTGCTGTTGTATATGTCTTTTCAATAAAATATTTTTTTATATTAAAATTTGATTATGTTATGATACGTCTGGACAAGTTCTTAAGAATAACATTGAAACACTTGAAAAAGTATAATCCGTGACATTTTTTGAGTTATGTAGTTTTGAAAAAAGGTACAAAATGAAAGATGAAACACTAAATATAAGCAACCTTTCTAACTAAGATTTAAATCTTGATATTAAGCAAACTGTGTTTAATATCAAGATTCAAGAAAAAAGTCCTTCCATTTTTAATTATCACATTTCTTTACTGAAGTTGCTGCAGGGAATAAGAGCACATGATATGAAAAATTACCCGAAAGTTCCCATGACACGAGTGGACACATGAGTATTATTATCAGTGGTCAACTTAGCCAGTCCAAAATCCGCAACCTGAATAAAATACATTGTTGGCATACTTAATTACCTTCCATAACATAATTCATAACAGGTGCGATAATGATCAAATAGTTGAAACAGATAAATATGCAAATATGTTAAACCTTTGCTTCGAAGCTATCATCAATAAGGACATTCGCAGCTTTAATATCACGATGAATAATGCGAGGATGACCTAAATAGAACAAAAAAATGAAAAATATAGAGAGAAGAAAATGAATAAAAAAGAAAGATGACGAGCAAGAAGATGTAAACTCTTACAGTCCTCATGAAGATAAGCAAGACCTTTAGCAGATCCTATTGCAATCCTCATTCTAGTAGGCCAATCCATAGTAGGCCTACCCTTTCCTGCATGTCACCATCGAATACATGAACCAAACCCTAAAGCACATGAGTGTGTAAAAAGACCAACTGAATTGATCTAAAACCATCTAAATCAGATTATAAAAATCGATCTATTTTGAGAAAAAATCAAAATGATTTAGTTTGGTTTGTTTTTTTTGAAAAAATCATATCCTATACGAATATAAAATGAATAAACAAACTGCATCGAACTAATCAATTTTAATAAATCTGACCCAATATTAGAAAAAGGAATCTACATACTTTATAAACAATAGTTCAGTTTATCAAATCATTTTTATAAAATGAATCAATTCGATTAATTATGAATAACCCTACTCAAATGACATAAGTTGAAAGAATGTATATAGCACTTACCATGAAGATGATACTCCAATGTGTTATTGGGAATGAACTCATAGACCAACATTCTCTGGCCACCAGAAATACAGTATCCAACAAGTGACACAAGATGACGATGGTGGACACGACTAATGATGTCAATCTCAGCTTGGAACTCTCGTTCTCCCTGGCCACTACCTGATTTAAGGCTCTTAACTGCTACTTCCTTGCCATTAGGCAACACACCCTTATGGACATAACCGAAGCCACCTTGTCCTATCAAGTTTACATCGGCGAATCCGTTGGTGGCAGCTGCAAGTTCCTCGTAACTGAAGGTTCCACCTTTGAGGCCTAGGGCAAGGGTTGGTGAGGGAGGAGGCAAAGGGGTTGGTCCTGTTGAGTAGTTAGAGCTCATGTCAGCACTGTTCATCATCATCGGCGGGGGGGGGGGGGGGGCCCCCCCCCCCCCCCCCCCCCCG